AATTTTCAAGTAGAATTGTTTACCATGTTATCTATTATATATATTAGTTTGGTCCATTACAATCATTTGTCAAAAACTTTCTATACCAATTAGCTGTTTCAGTTGGTATACGTTTGAGACTATCATTAAAATCGACATGATAAAGCCCCCAATTTCTAGAATAGCCCGCTTGAAATTCAAATGTATCAAAAGCTGCCCAAGCAAAGTAACCACGAACGTTTACACCAGCATCAATGGCTGCTTTTGTCGCATTAACATGTGAAGCAATGTAAGCAACTCGATGTTCGTCCTTCAATGGATTTATAGTCTTGAAAGAAGCAATACCATTTTCAGTGATGTAGATTTTGGGATTTTGGTAATTTTTCTTCATATAAAGTAAGAAGTCATATAATCCTTCAGGGTAGACAAAGTTCAAACCGTATTGATCCATGTAGCCAAGAGTTTTTCCTTCGATGTTAGAAACTTCTGACATAGCTAAGGCATCAAAGTTATCACCAAAAATCTTGGTTCTATTTGATTCATGTCTAGCAAAGTAAGAAGTATAATAATTTATCCCAATAAAGTCTGTGCTTCCATTTAACATTTTTTTATCCTCTTTTGTAAATGTAGGTAGCCTGTTCCCCACTAGCTTTCTCATTATTTGTGGATAATCTCCATGGAAAACTGGCTCTAAAACCCATCCCCTGTAGAAATCCGTTAGTCTTTTAGCTGCAGCCACATCCTCTGGTTTAGAGCTGTAGGGATAATAACTTCCCGATGAAAGGGAAATTCCAATTTCTCCCCCTTGAATTTCTTGAAATTTTGTTTTGTATAAATTTGATGTTGTAGCATGGGCAATAAGGAAATTATGAAGTACAATGTATGCTTCTTTACATATTCTACCTATAGTTGGGCATGCCTCAACAGATATATTATCAATATTGTGCATGTATTGGAATATAGCTGTGACCTCTCCCTCGTTGATTGTAGTCCAATGTTTCACCCGATCTCCATATGTTTTGAATAAGAGTTCACTAAAATCCTTGAAATGTGTCACAATGGAGAGATTTGAGAAACCACCAAGTTTTTGTTGAAGAGCTAATGGATAGTCAAAGTGCATGATAGTCACAAAAGGTTCAATACCATTTTTTAGCAACTCGTTGATCAAATTGTTGTAGAAGTTGACACCTTCTTGATTTATACCTCCTTTCAAGGTTCCATTTGGCATTATTCTATTCCAGGATATGGACATTCTATAAGAGTTTACTCCAAGCTTTTTTAAAAGTTGCACATCCTTCTTATAGTGCTTATAATGTTCAATCTTTTTGGAAAACTTATCGACATCTAAATACACACCTTTTTTATGTTCAATTATATCATCCCATATACCAAGTCCTCTTCCTCCTTCGTGTGCCGCTCCTTCAATCTGAAGGGCAGAAGATCCAGCACCAAACAAAAAGCCATTTGGAAATGATCCTCGACTCGGAAAACTTGGTGAATTTATGAATTTTAATTTAGAGTCATATGTATTAGTTGTAGCTCGTTCTCCAATCTGTGAAGAAAGTGATTGATAAATTTCAAATTTTTTCTTCAAGGGAAATAGAACTTGTGCTTGGGTGGAAATGTTGGAAATCCAAACAAACGACAAGATTGCAAGAACAATTTTGGAAATTCTCAAAGGTGACATAATGTATATTTTCTGCATCCAAAAATATTTTTTGGAGTTTGATAATGAATTAAATTTATTGTGGAGGAAGAGGAAAACAAATTTATACTATATTTTTATGTGTATGCCAACTTCTAAGATGATAATTGTTGTTTTTCAAAAGCAATTAAAAATGTTACAGCGAAAATCTATGATTGTATTCTTTTTAGAGTTCTTTGACTCATATCAATACAAATATTATTATTAATAGACTTTCCAATTAGATAAAGTTGTCGCTAGTGTCATGATCGTTGTGATATTTTCATTGTAATAACTTTGTTGTAAGTACCCGACCATGAATTCTTTTAATGTTATATTTTCATTAGTAACGACCTTGCACCACATGCATTATTACCTCTTTTTTTTACACTCACATTACCTAATTTTAGAACCCATAAAAAATAATTTTTCAATGTTAAGCATGCATTATCAAAGTACATATGTGCCAATTATAACTTTTGTTTGAAAGTTATGCAGAAAAAACGATTCATCCTTGCATTGGAAAAACCAATTAAATTTACATAAAAAAAAATCATTTTCTTGGTCTTTGTTACAAAATTAGATTGTTTACCAGTCTTTCGACTTTAATCATTCATGTTCAATTCTATTTACATTTGAAACAAGTTATTTTATTATGAACTCTGCCAAAGTGTTCATTGTTTTTCTAAATTTGTTTAAGATCAATTAGCACATGTCTTAGGATTTATGTGGTCGATCCTGCAAGTAAAACAAATCTTTTTCAATTTGAAAGACCAACGGTTGTTCACCAATTTTCACGGTGAACAGCTACCAGATATCAGCAATCAGCTATAGGTTAGTTTTACCGAACAGAGCATAAAAGATAAAAAGTAGATTGCTTTCCTCCCCTTTTATATTTTCAGAGATTGAAAAATGACGAAATATAAAAAATTTAATCATAATAACTATTGAAATATATACATAATAAAAAGAATATTGAAATATCGTGTCCACTTTCACAAAAGTATAAAAGGTACAAACAAGAACTATCATGAATGTTTTCCCACACACGTGTTTCTTTGGTTAATAAGTATAAGTATATTTTGCAATTGATATTTTTTTAACATATACAATTAATCATGATTTCACCAATGATAAAAAATGTCTCTTTCAGTTTAACCACTCAATTTTACACCCGACTTGTTGTATCAATGCATTGGAAATGTAAAAAAGTGATTAGTAATAAATATCAACATTATAAGAAGATGAAATTATAATATTACGAAATAATGTTGGATATAGATTGAGAAAAATTAATTTAAAAATAGATTAAGAAAGTCTTTAATAATAGAAGAAAATTAATAAAAAATAATAGATTAAGAAATACATAATAATTAGAGGAAATGACATAAGACATACATTTATTATAAGTTTTTGAAGCATATTTATGATTATGTTCTATTGCACTAAAAATAACTTTATTGATAGAAACTCTAATGTATCAGTTATAGAAACAAACTTTCATGAATCTGGAATCTTATGTTTATAAACCAAATATTCATTCATTACAGTACTTCAATTCACGATACAAACGGTCGTCCTTTAACTTTACAAATTAGATACACCAATCATAAATGTTGCAAAAAGTTAAGAAAAATCAATGAATATGTAAATATAAATCAAAGTAGGTTGTTTACTAATCCTACTTTGAATGGATAAATAAACTCGGTCTTAAATTGTATGAACCTAAGGCCCAATCCTTTCTATTATCTTTGTCATAGATGAATCGAAACTCGAAGAAACCTTTACCCAAAGGGACAAATTTCCAAGCCGACGGTTCTAGCCACGTCTCATTCAATTTTTTCACAAGGTCTCTTATTGTTCATGGCTTATATCCTTTCCCTATAATTAATCAACCTGGTAGATGATTTTTGCAGCCCTCTGAGCCCTTGTTTTACTCCTCTTGTGAAATCTTTATACTTATTTTGTCTACGAATGTGGAAATAATAAAAAAAAAATGAATAATAAATATGTCGTAATTAGTAGGAAAATTCTTTGTTGCCCGTTAAAAAAGTTGGAGATAAGTACCGATAATAGCAAATTAATTCAAATAAAATTCCACTTAAATATATTATTAAAAATAAAAAAAATGACGTGAGTTCTAATTTTGGAAGTTCAATAGCTATAAAATTTTCATTTAATTAAAAACTCAATTTAAATAGTTAGAACATATATAATATTTAAAAAAAACAATACGACAAAATATGAAAGAGAATGATGTTATGAATGGTCATTCTCCATGGTGGTTTCATAATATTTCATTTAAAATAATTTTTATGAACAAAAATGTATGTACGAATGTGCTAAAAATGTCAGGAGCTATAAAGTTGTTTAATGCATATAAAACTTATATTAGAAAGCTAAGCTTACGATTTTAAAGTATTTTACCATTCACTCTAATAGCTAAATGGAATGAGTAATAAATTGTTTACATACATGAAATCACTTAAAATAAATCAATTTTCTTTTAACTTTGCTAAATAATGAGTTTACAATATATTTTAGAGCAAAATTTCTACCACATTCTTTGAATTTTTACATGAGTGAACATATACATGTGCATTGTACTAGTATCTACACTAATATAAATTACAGATATGAATATTTAAAATAATTTCCAAACTAACAAATTAAATAATCTTCTTGTTGGAGATAAAAAATTTTCAAGTAGAATTGTTTACCATGTTATCTATTATATATATTAGTTTGGTCCATTACAATCATTTGTCAAAAACTTTCTATACCAATTAGCTGTTTCAGTTGGTATACGTTTGAGACTATCATTAAAATCGACATGATAAAGCCCCCAATTTCTAGAATAGCCCGCTTGAAATTCAAATGTATCAAAAGCTGCCCAAGCAAAGTAACCACGAACGTTTACACCAGCATCAATGGCTGCTTTTGTCGCATTAACATGTGAAGCAATGTAAGCAACTCGATGTTCGTCCTTCAATGGATTTATAGTCTTGAAAGAAGCAATACCATTTTCAGTGATGTAGATTTTGGGATTTTGGTAATTTTTCTTCATATAAAGTAAGAAGTCATATAATCCTTCAGGGTAGACAAAGTTCAAACCGTATTGATCCATGTAGCCAAGAGTTTTTCCTTCGATGTTAGAAACTTCTGACATAGCTAAGGCATCAAAATTATCACCAAAAATCTTGGTTCTATTTGATTCATGTCTAGCAAAGTAAGAAGTATAATAATTTATCCCAATAAAGTCTGTGCTTCCTTTTAACATTTTTTTATCCTCTTTTGTAAATGTAGGTAGCCTGTTCCCCACTAGCTTTCTCATTGTTTATGGATAATCTCCATGGAAAACTGGCTCTAAAACCCATCCCCTGTAGAAATCCGTTAGTCTTTTAGCTGCAGCCACATCCTCTGGTTTAGAGCTGTAGGGATAATAACTTCCCGATGAAAGGGAAATTCCAATTTCTCCCCCTTGAATTTCTTGAAATTTTGTTTTGTATAAATTTGATGTTGTAGCATGGGCAATAAGGAAATTATGAAGTACAATGTATGCTTCTTTACATATTCTACCTATAGTTGGGCATGCCTCAACAGATATATTATCAATATTGTGCATGTATTGGAATATAGCTGTGACCTCTCCCTCGTTGATTGTAGTCCAATGTTTCACCCGATCTCCATATGTTTTGAATAAGAGTTCACTAAAATCCTTGAAATGTGTCACAATGGAGAGATTTGAGAAACCACCAAGTTTTTGTTGAAGAGCTAATGGATAGTCAAAGTGCATGATAGTCACAAAAGGTTCAATACCATTTTTTAGCAACTCGTTGATCAAATTGTTGTAGAAGTTGACACCTTCTTGATTTATACCTCCTTTCAAGGTTCCATTTGGCATTATTCTATTCCAGGATATGGACATTCTATAAGAGTTTACTCCAAGCTTTTTTAAAAGTTGCACATCCTTCTTATAGTGCTTATAATGTTCAATCTTTTTGGAAAACTTATCGACATCTAAATACACACCTTTTTTATGTTCAATTATATCATCCCATATACCAAGTCCTCTTCCTCCTTCGTGTGCCGCTCCTTCAATCTGAAGGGCAGAAGATCCAGCACCAAACAAAAAGCCATTTGGAAATGATCCTCGACTCGGAAAACTTGGTGAATTTATGAATTTTAATTTAGAGTCATATGTATTAGTTGTAGCTCGTTCTCCAATCTGTGAAGAAAGTGATTGATAAATTTCAAATTTTTTCTTCAAGGGAAATAGAACTTGTGCTTGGGTGGAAATGTTGGAAATCCAAACAAACGACAAGATTGCAAGAACAATTTTGGAAATTCTCAAAGGTGACATAATGTATATTTTCTTCATCCAAAAATATTTTTTGGAGTTTGATAATGAATTAAATTTATTGTGGAGGAAGAGGAAAACAAATTTATACTATATTTTTATGTGTATGCCAACTTCTAAGATGATAATTGTTGTTTTTCAAAAGCAATTAAAAATGTTACAGCGAAAATCTATGATTGTATTCTTTTTAGAGTTCTTTGACTCATATCAATACAAATATTATTATTAATAGACTTTCCAATTAGATAAAGTTGTCGCTAGTGTCATGATCGTTGTGATATTTTCATTGTAATAACTTTGTTGTAAGTACCCGACCATGAATTCTTTTAATGTTATATTTTCATTAGTAACGACCTTGCACCACATGCATTATTACCTCTTTTTTTTTTACACTCACATTACCTAATTTTAGAACCCATAAAAAATAATTTTTCTACGTTAAGCATGCATTATCAAAGTACATATGTGCCAATTATAACTTTTGTTTGAAAGTTATGCAGAAAAAACGATTCATCCTTGCATTGGAAAAACCAATTAAATTTACAAAAAAAAATCATTTTCTTGGTCTTTGTTACATAATTAGATTGTTTACTAGTCTTTCGACTTTAATCATTCATGTTCAATTCTATTTACATTTGAAACAAGTTATTTTATTATGAACTCTGTCAAAGTGTTCATTGTTTTTCTAAATTTGTTTAAGATCAATTAGCACATGTCTTAGGATTTATGTGGTCGATCCTGCAAGTAAAACAAATCTTTTTCAATTTGAAAGACCAACGGTTGTTCACCAATTTTCACGGTGAACAGCTACCAGATATCAGCAATCAGCTATAGGTTAGTTTTACCGAACAGAGCATAAAAGATAAAAAGTAGATTGCTTTCCTCCCCTTTTATATTTTCAGATATTGAAAAATGACGAAATATAAAAAATTTAATCATAATAACTATTGAAATATATACATAATAAAAAGAATATTGAAATATCGTGTCCACTTTCACAAAAGTATAAAAGGTACAAACAAGAACTATCATGAATGTTTTCCCACACACGTGTTTCTTTGATTAATAAGTATAAGTATATTTTGCAATTGATATTTTTTTAACATATACAATTAATCATGATTTCACCGATGATAAAAAATGTCTCTTTCAGTTTAACCACTCAATTTTACACCCAACTTGTTGTATCAATGCATTGGAAATGTAAAAAAGTGATTAGTAACACTACAACAAAAATGACTTTTGGTAACAACTCAAAACCGCAACCTAAAGTGCAATAACCGTAGCCTAAGGCTTTAGGGGGCGGTTTATCAGACGTGGAATAAACGGTTGTTGCCTATTCCTTTAGAGCGCGGTTTTTTTATTTATAATCACGGATTCTGTTGGAACTATAATAATTATAGTAATAGAAATTGAAAAGTGAATTTGAAAAGATTCATTTTAGTCCCACATTGGATGTTAGAATTATATTAATGGGAATTGGAAAGTGAATTTGAAAAGATTCATGTTAGTCCCACATTGGATGTTGGAATTATATTAATGGGAATTGGAAAGTGAATTTGACAAGATTCATTTTAGTCCCACATTGGAGGAATGGAAATATCAGCCTCACTAGCTACCTATAAATAAATGGTAAAAATTCAGTAGTGAGCACTCCGGATTTCACAAATTCACACGAATTTTGATTTCCCTCTCTCTCCCTTAATTCTCTTCATCTAAACAATTTTCTTTTCTTGGTTTTTTCGACTGGCTATTTCAGCCAGATACTGGACTGGCTATTTTCGCCAGATAATTTAGAAAGGTGTATTTCTAGAGCGATTTATCAGTGTGCAACTGATAATCGTAATTTTGAACGGGCTGTTTTATCCTGGAGGCGTCGTCGTAAATCGACTGCTTTGCATATTTTGGCAGTACGGCGAAACGTCTTAAAGAAAGCGACCTAGTACGCGACTCGTCGGCGAAACGTCTTAAAGAAAGCGACCTAGTACGCGACTCGTCCCGATAATTTCCTTGTGCCAATATTTCAAATTCGAAAACAACACTTTTAAGATGCTTTCATAACTGACATGACTACTGAGGAAATTATCGGTACTACTGCGGCCGCTTCGGTCTCTGACAAACCTTTCAGGTTTGAGGGTTCCAATTTCAAACGCTGGCAAGCTAAGATGAAATTTTTCTTAACTCTGAAAAAGGTTGCCCACGTTCTGACTGAGGATATCCCGGTTGTCCCTTATGCATCATCTGAATTACCTAATGGTAACACACTTGCAGATTCAGACGGGACTTCCAAAACGCCCGAATCAGATGCTGCAAAAGCTAAGGCTGAATCAGATGCTGCAAAAGCTAAGTCTGCAGCAAATGATCTACAGCTCCGAAAAGAAATCGCCTTATGGCACGAGAATGATTATCTGTGCAAAAATCACATTCTGAACAGCCTTGCTGATGATCTGTACGACTACTACAGTAGCTACAGAACTGCTAAACAGGTATGGGAGGCTCTGAAAAGGAAATATGATACTGAAGAAGCAGGTGCGAAGAAATTTGCTGTCAGCCGCTACTTGAACTACAAGATGGTGGATGAGAAGTCGGTAGAAACTCAAAGCCACGAAATTCAGAAGATTGCTCATGAGATTATTACAGAAGGTATGCCCCTTAATGAACAATTTCAAATTGCTGTAATTATTGACAAACTGCCCCCTGGTTAGAAAGATTTCAAAAATATACTTCGTCACAAAACAAAAGAATTTTCAATCGAGAGTCTGATTACTCGCCTCCGAATTGAAGAGGAGGCTCGAAAACAAGATCAGAAAGAAGAAGTCTTAGTTGTTTACGACAACAAAAAGAAAAAGAAGTTTGGTGCGGTTCTGAAGCCTACGGGCAAACCTTTAAAGAATCAGAACCGCTGTGCTATGAACCAAACTAAGAATGGGAATCCCTCTAGGGCCCCATCGGCTCCGTTTGCTAGGCAACAGCCACCACCTCAAAGAAATGCTGCTCCGGTTTTCTCTTGCTACAATTGTGGGAAACCGGGCCATATGGCAAAGAAATGTAGGAGCAGGCCTAAACCTGCAGCTGGCTCAAATACACAGGTTAACCTGACTGATGAGCAACTAATTGCCATGATCACTGAAATCAACATGGTTGGTGGAAGTGACGGTTGGTGGATAGACACTGGCGCCACTCGTCATGTCTGCTATGATCGTGTTATGTTCAAGACATACATGAATACTGAAGATAAGAAAGTGTTGTTGGGAGATGCTCACACCACTAATGTTGCTGGAATTGGAGATGTTGAACTGAAGTTCACTTCAGGAAAGACTTTGATCTTGAAGGACGTCATGCATGTTCCTGAAATTAGGAAGAATCTTGTTTCTGGTTTTCTTCTGAATAAGGCTGGGTTCAGTCAAACTTTAGGGGCAGATTTGTACACCATCACTAAGAATGGTATTTTTGTGGGAAAAGGGTACACCACTGATGGCATGTTTAAGTTGAATGTTGATTTGAATAAAACTTCTCCTTCTGTTTACTTTTTGTGTGATTTTAATATTTGGCATGGTAGACTTTGTCACGTTAATAAACGAATCATTTCTAATGCAAGCAACATAGGCCTAATCCCTAAACTAAATATTAATGATTCCAATAAATGTGAATTTTGTAGTCAAGCTAAAATAACAAAGACTTCACATAAATCAATAATAAAAGAATCTGATCCCCTAGATCTTATACACTCTGATATATGTGAATTAGATGGAAGTTTAACTAGAAATAATAAACGTTATTTTATCACTTTTATTGACGATTGCTCTGATTATACTTATGTATATCTAATGAAGAATAAAAGTGAAGCGCTTGACATGTTTAAGGTGTATGTAACTGAAATTGAGAATCAATTTAACAAGAAGATTAAGAGACTTCGCAGTGATAGGGGAACCGAATATGACTCTAGCTTGTTTAATGATTTTTATGCTGAACATGGTATTATACATGAAACGACTGCTCCATACTCTCCTGAAATGAATGGTAAAGCAGAAAGAAAGAATAGGACTCTTACTGAACTTGTAGTTGCAATCATGTTAAATTCTGGTGCTGCACCTCACTGGTGGGGGGAAATTTTATTGACTGTTTGCTATGTCCTGAATAAAGTTCCCAAGTCGAAAAGTAAGATCTCACCTTATGAGATATTAAAGAAAAGACAACCAAATTTGTCTTATTTGAGAACTTGGGGTTGCCTGGCTTATGTCAGAATTCCGGATCCGAAACGAGTTAAACTCGCTAGTAGAGCCTATGAATGCGTATTCATTGGGTATGCAGCAAACAGTAAGGCATACAGGTTTTATGACCTAAATACCAGAGTAATCATAGAATCAAACGATGTTGAATTCTTTGAAGACAAATTTCCCTTCAAATCGAGAAATAGTGGGGGCACACAATCGAGTCACATTCCTGTGATAAAAAGCACTGAAAGCAGTGACAAAGTAGAAACAGAACTTCGAAGAAGTAAAAGAGCAAGAGTTGCTAAAGAATATGGGTCCGATTATGCGGCCTATAATGTAGAAGAAGATCCAATAAATCTTCAAGAAGCACTGTCATCTATGGATGCAGACTTATGGCAAGAAGCCATTAATGATGAGATAGATTCTCTAGAATCTAACAAGACCTGGCACTTAGTAGACATACCACCGGGCTGTAAACCAATTGGTTGTAAATGGGTTTTGAAACGGAAACTAAAACCTGATGGAACGATTGAGAAATACAAGGCTCGTCTTGTAGCCAAGGGTTTTAGACAAAGAGAAAATATAGATTTCTTCGACACCTTTTCTCCGGTCACTAGAATTACATCCATTAGGGTACTCATTTCAATAGCAGCTATTTATAACTTAATAGTACACCAAATGGATGTTAAAACAGCCTTTTTAAACGGTGACTTAGAAGAAGAAATCTATATGGAACAACCAGAAGGGTTTGTAATCCAAGGTCAAGAAAGCAAGGTCTGTAAGTTAGATAAGCCTCTGTATGGACTA